CAAAATCTTTTCCTCTTCCAATATGGGACAATATCCCTTTGTCAAGAAGGGAAACTCAAATATGTTCAATTTCCCTCCATTTCCCATTCACCCTCTTTTAAGCTACATTTAAGCTTTAAAAACCCAACACATACAATACAAAAAGGTCAAAATATTAAACATTCGGATGAAGATATTAAGTAAGAATGCATCTATACATAGGGCTGTATATAACCTGTCTTCCTAATATATCTTGAAAAAACAAAAAGAATAGGAGAGATAGAGAATACAAAGCCGTCAAATGATCTCCTAATACCTCAGGGGACCATCTAGTACTAATGGGCATTCCAGCCAAATTTACAACAGCTGTTGAACCTTCAATACAGTTTCTCCATTCTGGCTCCTCAGCAATTACAAGTCCTGGAAATTCTTTAACTGCACATTTCCACAAGAATATGAAGAGGTCAAATGTTAAAAGTAAGAAGCACAATTGGGAAAACATAACCGAAATAAAGTCTTAATGTCTGCTGACAACATATTGTTTCCTACATAAGATCAAATAAAAGAAGGTAGTAGGACAAAAGAGTAGCAAAAGCACCTACACTTCATTAAGAAGCACAAATAATCAAATATCAGGTGAGTTCGTGACATTCCTTTAGGATGGGATGATTCTACTTATAAAACAGTCTAGCTTTGCGACACGATTCCTACCATTTTCCACAGAAGAAAGAGAAATGCTGAAGTGGGTGAATCAAAACAATCATTACCTTCTTACCCGGAAATATTGATTGTGCTTTGGATCTTGACCTTGTCAACACTCGAATCTGATGCTTATCTGCATTTAAGACAAGAAGTAAGGACCAGTTAAGCTCAACTAATAACATGCATATTATACAATAGCAGTTATGTGACCCAACGTTGGGAAAAATCACATCTTATGGTATGTTCAATTCAGAAAAGCGTCATGTATGACAATGTCTCTTATATAGAAGTGTTAATTAAGCAGCAACCCAATAACCCAAATATTAATTTAAGTTTTTAACCAGCTTCAATTAGTTTAACAGACACACTTGGTACTTGAACTATTTCATCAGCAGAAAAAAGGACATGCCAAGACTTATGAACCTGCCCATAGTGGTGTAAGTCAATAGCAAACAAGGAGTGTGCCTTTCTGCTTAAAAAATTCTCGCCCAATGCTGAGCGCAGACTCATAATCAAGTTCTAGAGTCATGGTAAAGAACTATATAAACTGGGCAGAACCATGAGCGGTATAATGAAGGCAGCACGTGCGTGCACATCCTCAGCCCACAGCTCGAGGAATACACGCACACACACACACATACACACATTTCCTAAATGTTTACAAATACTCCCTCCACTCCACTTTGTTGGCACTCTTTCCTCATTCAATCGTCCTAAATCGATCTGTATCTACATTTAGTAACTAGTAACTTTTACATTCCAATTTCGCAATTGACTTTTGACTTATTGTAGGTCCAATTGATAGAGAAACAAATGGCTTGGTATTAATTGGTCTTTTTGGTACTTGATGCATATCTATTCAAGAGTCTTTCGTTTTTATTAGACTCCATATATATATATATATATATATATATCCAATCAATCATTGGTCGTAGTGGGGGGAATACCTGCATGCAATCTTTGCACCAATCTTTTCCCAACAAATCCAGTAGCTCCAGTAACTGATACAACCATCTGACTTTCCTGAACCAGTAAAAGAAAAGTATATTTCATCTCAACAAACTTAAGCACTGCTACATAAGTAACTAGGTAGATAATTTGGCAGCAGAAATCATCACAAGCACCAAAATGATTTGAACAATGTGGAATGAGAAATACCTTCTGAGACTCAATGTTTCCATTCACACACCAAACTCTGAATCTTTTAGGCCCAACTCCTACCTATTTTCAATGAAAAATAAAACAGATGAATGATTTAAAAATGCTTTTTATACAAAATGAGGAATCAATTGGGGGAGGGGGAATGCATACAAAGAGAGTTTGAGGGAGTTGAAGGGTAGAGGAGATGGAATTTGTCCATGCAAATGCAGTAGTAGCAGCTGGTACTCTACATAGCTCCATTGGACTTTTGAATTAACTGTTTACTCCAATTGGGTGTGATGAAAAAACGACTTCTTGATAATGAATGTGCTTTCTTGTCTTACGCTTTGTGATTAAGTAAATTGGTTTTGGGCAAATTTGAGGATGATGTTCGTGTAGGAATTGGAGCCACAGCTGACCCATCACTCCTTTCGACACCTCTCTTTTTTTTTATTGGCAAAGGGTCAAATATATTGAGTACTTTCGAAAATGGTACCCTCATTGTACTATTGGATCATATATATTCTCCCTTCATACTTTGGAACAAATATACTCTTATTTTGGATGAAGTGTCGCGTGGCAACACCAGATGAAAACGACTCATTTCTTTTTTTTACCCGATTCGTTTTAAAAAATCCACCATCCGACCCGTTTAAAAATTGAGTTTTTTAAAAGCATATATTTTGTAAAAATTAGATTTTTTTTTCGAAAAAGGCTCAGAAATGCCCTTAACGTATTAGAAATGGTTCAAAAATGCCCTCCTTCCACCTATGGGTTTAAATTTGCCCTTAATGTTATTTTTAGACTTAAAAATGCCTCTCTTAACGGAAAGATGACATGGCATTGATGAGTATTTTAACATTAAGGGCAAATTTGAACTCATAGGTGGAAGGAGGGCATTTTTGAGCCATTTCTAATACGTTAAGGGCATTTTCGACCCTTTTCCGTTTTAATTAAACATGTAGCATTTATTTAGTATGGAAAAAAATGAATTTTTTTTAAAAACTGAAAAAACAATTTCCCAGTTTTAAAAAAAGCTGAAAAATATTTTCTAAAATAATATTTTTATAAAAACTGAAAAAAAAAACTAAAAATCAATTTTCTAAAGCAATGTTTTTGTAAAAGCTGAAAAATAACATTTCCTCTTCTTCTTCCTTCCTTGTTTGTCCATATGCTTTATGAGTTCATTTTTTATATATTTCAGTTCTTACATCAAAACTGAAATATTTTCGTTTTTTTTTCAGTTTTTAATAAAAAAATTTTACTTTTTTCCAGACTAAATAAATGCTACATGTTTAATTAAAATACCATTTTTTCAGAACTCAGAAAGCCAATCTATTCCTAAATAAATGCTACATGTTTAACTAAATAAATGCTACATTTTCCGAGACAAATGAATTTTTTTTTTACTAAAAACTGAAAAAACGAAAATATTTCAATTTTGATATATTAACTCATTAGAAGAACTAAAATATATAAAAAATGAACTCTGAAAGCATATGGACAAACAATGAAAGAAGAAGAAGAGGAAATATTTTTTTTCAGCTTTTACAAAAATATTACTTTAGAAAATTATTTTTCAGTTTTTACAAAAATATTGTTTTAGAAAATATTTTTTCAGCTTTTTTTAAAGCACTTTTTTTTGTAAAAATCGAAAAAAAAAATATTTTCGTTTTTTCCAGTTTTTAGAAAAAACAAATTACTTTTTCCAGACTAAATAAATACTACATGTTTAATTAAAACGGAATAGGGTCAGAAATGCCCTTAACGTATTAAAAATGGCTCAAAAATGCCCTCCTTCCACATATGAGTTCAAATTTGCCCTTAATGTTAAAATGCCTATCAATGCCATGTCATCTTTCCGTTAAGATAGGGGCATTTTTAAGCCTAAAAATAACAATAAGGGCAAATTTGAACCCATAGGTGGAAGGAGGGCATTTTTGAGTCATTTCTAATACGTTAAGGGCATTTCTAACCCTTTTCCGGTTTTTTTTTGTAAAAGCTTTAAAAAAAAAGGAATTTGCAAAATATATATTTTTAAATTTTTTCAGTTTTTTTAAAATATTATTTTTGAAAAAACTGAAAAAATAAATATTTTTTGTAAAAACTGAAAAAAATAAAACTGAAATATATATATTTGTAAAAACTGAAAGAAAAAAAAAAAGAATTTGCAAAATATATATTTTTCAGGTTTTTCAAGTATTTTTTTTGTAAAAACTGAAGAAATTTTTTTTTTGCAAAATATATATATTTTTTTAAACTAATGCATACGTAGTCCGCTGCTTTAATTGAGTTTATTTTTCAGTTTTTTACAAAAAATATTGTTTTGTTAGTTCTTACAAAACAAATACTTTAAAAAAACTTAAAAATATATATTTTACAAATTTCTTTTTTTTTTTTTTCAGTTTTTACAAAAAAGAAAATCAGTTTTTACAAAATATATGCTTTAAGTTTTTTCCGTTTTTTTAAAGTATTTATTTTATAAAAACCGAAAAAATATTTTTTTTTGTAAAAACTGAAAGAAAAAAAAAAAACTCTCCTAAAGCAGTGGACTACATATGCATTAGTTTAAAAAAAAAAGAAAATATTTTACAAAATCTTTTTTTTTCTTCAGTTTTTACAAAAAAAATACTTTAAAAAACTAAAAAATATATATTTTGCAAATTTCTTTTTTTTTTCTTTCAGTTTTTACAAAATATATATTTTTCAGTTTTTACTTTTTTTTTCAGTTTTTACAAAAAACATACTTTTAAAAAACTGAAAAAACTTAAAAATATATATTTTGCAAATTTCTTTTTTTTTCTTCAGTTTTTACAAAAAACAAAATTCCAGTTTTTACAAAATATATATTTTAAAAAAACTGAATTTTAAAACAGGTCGGATGGTGGGTTTTTTTAAAACGGATCGGGTAAAAAAAATGGGTCGTTTTCATCTGGTGCTGCCACGTGGCACTCCATCTAAAATAAGGGTATATTTGTTCCAAAGTATGACGGGAGAGGTATATATGACCCAATAGTATAACGAGGGATATTCTTAGACCATTTTCGAAAGTATAGGGATACATTTGGCCCTTTGCCGTTTTGTTATTATCTTTCAAACATATTGATTTCAAATGCATTTTTTTTCCATTTCTTTACTCTTAAATATTACTTCCTGCGTCTCAAAAAGATCAATACTATTAGTTCTAATTAATTTGTACCAAAAAAATTGACAGATTCCTGCATTTTTTTTAATGAAAAATATTTATAATCACACAAATATTATATTTGTATAAAATCACAAATTTCAAAAGCTTTATAGTTACACGAATATATTGATATATTTGAGACCACAAGTTTTAAAGTGTTTCTCTCTTTATAAAACTTTACGTCAAATCAAACTATCACTTTAAATGGAGAGAGTATAATTTTATAATCTGCTCCGTTGAAAGTCAACTAAGTTGATAATCAATAAAAGAATATTTTACCATGATGAAATATTATAAATTTGACTATAGTGAAACGACTGATATACATAATTTATACGTAGAATTTTGGTATAAATTGTTTACATATTCACTGGTTGTCTGGACTTGAAAGAAATTTCACCGATACATTTTTGCTTCAAAATTGATCCAAATCATTTTAAATTTGACATCCAACCTTCAAATAACAATCCCAAAAACTTTTAACGGTTAAATTTAACTAAAATCTTCAAAAAGTCGATAGACCCACTTCTTCAACAATCAAACTCAACAAAATCGAAAAAAGAACCAACAACAAAACAACATTGAATTTTCATTTTTCGACAATAAACATGAAGATGGAGAAGAAAAAGGAAAAGTTCTAGTGGATGATATATATTTGCAAAATTCTTAAAATTAAAAACAAAAGTTAAATAAGTGTGAGGTGGAAGGACACCGTTTTGATCCGTTAGACTAAACTTTGTAAGGTTAAATGTTCCATATTATTCTAACACAAAGACGAAAGGAAAAGGTGTTGCATCAGAATTAATAATTTATTGAACTTAACTTATAATTATGAAAGAATGAAAATTGTCAAGCACCAAAAATATAGAGAGTGTTCGACACCCAATGCTTAAGCCCATATCAAACAAACTAATGCATTATATTTCACATACTCCGCTACTAAAAAATAGCTCTTTTCCAACCAAAAAAAAATCGACTAAACGTGGTCGGTTTTGAACATTTACCGATCAAAACATCTACTGAAATTGGTCGGTATCTTAAATATAAATTTTCCGGTATGCATTACCAACTGAAGATGGACTTACAAAACAGAATTGTGTGTAACCTTCACAATTAGAAGAAACAAAAGAGGGAAGATGCATGTTGTGAAATCTTCTTCCAAATCGTACGTTAAATCTTTCTTATTTTGTGTAATTGTGCTTAAATGCATGGTTCTTGCTCCTAATGGTTCATTCCAACTGACATGCTCACTGCAGTCATAATAATTCATTTAATAGGATCTCATTCTCGGACCGTGATGGCCTCTAATATTTCACTTTCTAGGCAAGCCTACGTTAGAATAGTTTTTAGCCAGTTTTAACAAATCAAATCAGTTGATACCAATTAAACTGTAATAACTGAAATAATACAATCCTAGAACTGGTGTCACAAGTGCACGAGCGACTAGAATAATACAGATAATGGTCTGAATGAAAGGAAAACTATCTGAAATGAAATAAACAACTAGGATAAGGTAGAAGGGGACTTTAGGGCTGCGAATGCGGGGCACCTATACCTCAAGTCTCCAATCCGGCAATCAATCAGAGCAATCTACTGACCGCCACTAGGACCAACTCCAAAATTTACACAAGAGAGTGTAGTATGAGTACAACCGACCACATGTACTCTGTAAGTGCGGAGCCTAACTTTGACGAAGTAGTGCCGAGGCTAAGGTGGGTCACTTGCAATAACCTGTACGCAGTATAATAATAATAACATGAAAGAAATGCGGGAAAAGTAAGGCAGTTAACTTAAGAAAATAAACTCAATACTCGAAATCAGTAAAGCCAAAAACACCAGTACTCAGAATCTCGTATGAAAGCACCGAAAGCTAACACAATACAACAATGAATACAAAATACATAATTCGTTGAGGCGCGCAACCGATCCTGCCGTACAAACACATTTCACCATAACAATATCAATAATAACATGTAAAATCCATTGTGGCGCAACCCGATCCCGTCATATAATCAGAATCAATATCATATTCCTCCCTTATTTCACCATATCAAAATCACATATAAAATACGTTGTGGCATGCAACCCGATCCCACCATATTAATATCAACCCTCCCTTATTCCACCCATTGAAGCGTGCAACCCTATCCATAAACAAAAATCAATAAATGTAATCAACTCAGCAACTCAAATCACAAGAATCTCTACGAATATGAAAGCAAAACCATAAAGGAATCTC